AAAGTAAAATACTCGGTGAATCGATAGCGCAGATTGTATCCTGATTTCTGAACAGGATAGATACCGTTTGCCAACGAACCTTTTCAAAAATACCCAATTTTCTACGTGTACACAGCAATTGTACAGAGAGTAAACGTGACTTATTATCCAGGTTAAAATTGACTTTTTCCTTCGTACTTCACACCCTATAGAATAATACGATTAAAACGAACCGCTCCTGTGTAAAGAAGCAGACGGTATACAGGTACTAATCGCTCAAAGATCGATCGATCGACCGATCTATCGGTCGCGATTGTAATTCGTCTGCGAGACAAATGCAATAATCTTTACGACGATTTCATGAAGCAGCTTATCTAACGTGCGCGTTATTCTAACGATAACGTCCCTGTCCATCAAATTCTTACTACTAACTACGTACCGCTATTCTTACGCGGTCTTCTATAATGTACTTGAGTAAGCTTCTAGATCTCGGTCAAAACAAAAACAAACAGATAAGACGGAAAGAAGTGAGGTGGGAGGGAAGCTTGCAACAACTGTGAGGTACGTTGATTAATTTCATGGTAAATCCCCACAAAATCCCCACAAAATCCCCACAAAATCCCCACAAAATCCCGACAAAAAACATATCAGCAGACTTACGAATTTTTAATCCCGCATTTCTCTGAAACCCCTTCGCTTATCGAATAAGGTATAACGTTTATTACACCAGATACTCTTGTCACGCATCTGATTTTCATATAAATACGCGAGAAATTTGGAGAAAAGGCAGACACTCGATCGTGCTTTGAAACAAGATGTTCGCAACACTGAATATACTCGCCTTGCTCGCTGTTGCAACAGGTAACTATTCCAACTAATTCTTCTTTTTTATATTCAATATTTTTACCATAATATCCTGTGAAAAAAGTTGGCTTCGAGGAAGGAATGAGGGATATAAAGATGTAATTTCTCGTTTGATTAGCGAATCCGCTGTCACACCCCATCGCCTTAAATCCCCTAACGCCGACCGGGCAAATAATCGGTGGAACGGACGCGAAGATCGAGGAAGTGCCGCATCAAGTGTCCCTCCAGAGTTCCGGTTTTGGATTCTGCGGTGGTAGCATCATCTCGAAGGAATGGGTGGTCACAGCTGGCCACTGCATGGTTTACCCAGCCGAATGGATCACCGTACGGGCAGGAACAGCGACCAAGTCGTCTGGCGGAAGCCTTCACGAGGTGGCAGAGGTAATCGTCCACGAGAAGTACGTAACGAATTATCACGGAGTGCCCGAGAACGACGTGGCCGTGATGCGAATGAAGACCCCCTTCAAATTGGACAAGACACGCCGACCCGTCGAGCTGTTCAAGCAAGACGAAGAATCTATCGCGGGAATTAGCGCAGTTATCACCGGATGGGGCGCAACCAGGGAAGGAGGTAATACCGCCAGCGTTCTCAAGAAGGTCGACGTACCCATCGTGTCCAAGAAGTCCTGCAACGACGCTTACAAGTCGTACGGAGGACTTCCCAAGGGACAAATTTGCGCGGCAGTGCCCGAAGGAGGCAAAGACGCTTGCCAAGGAGATTCCGGCGGTCCCTTGACCATCGGAGGACGTCTCGCCGGACTCGTCTCGTGGGGTTACGGTTGCGCCAGAGCTGGATACCCTGGCGTACACACCGAAGTCGCTGCTTTCAGCAAATGGATCACCTCTAAGACAGGAGTGAAATTGTAAACTGCTCTTCCTCCCATCGTTTCTACCGGCCTACAATATTCTTCAACCCTTTCATTCTCTATTTCTGATCGTGCGTGGTTGTGTGTGTGTGTGTGTGTGTATGTACATATGAATTAACGAAATTAATAAAGGCAAATTAATTTTCTCGACGCAACCTATTGTACAATACATACATATAATACTCTTCACCTTGTTGCCTGTACATCGACGCGACAAAGCTGTAATATTTTCGAGGGCTGTTCCCCGCGAATCCGTTTAAAGTCGAAATTAATCCTCCCCTCGCCGGCAAAGTTCTCGCGATTCGATCTCGGCTAATGCGTTAACCCTATTCTACGGCTCCGAGTCTACGGAAACTACGGCAAAGTGCACCTTTAATTAACAAATTGCACCATGTCGCCGAGGCGACACGGAAACCCACCATCTGCCTAGATATCTACGGAATTCAGGTTTACCAAAGACCATCCCCGCAGCGAAATTTTGAAAACGTTTGGCCGAGTTCCTCGGGACGTTGTCCCGCCAACTCCAACTTCTTATCGATGGACCAAACATTTAATACGTAGGACAGAACGCAAGTGCATCTAACAGTAAGATGATTCCTCCACTACAATTACATATGTGGGTTAAAGACACGAGAGACGCGTTTCTGCTTCACGTATCGCGCATCGTTAAGTAAATTCTCATCAAAGAGTGCCGCACCACTCTGAAACGTGCCCCAACTATTCCGTCACTCGTCGCAGACATCCGGAGAAATATTTATCGAGACGTGGATTATTTCATTCGGACCCGTTCCATCGCGCGCAAAGTTCGACGAACGAGACGAGAAAGGAGACGAACACAAACAGCCGTAAGTACACGTTTACGAACAAGGACCAGTCGATAAATTATTTTTAGAACGTCTGCTTGGCCAACGCGGAATTAACGATCGAACCTGGCAAACGAGGACGATCCGATCGGGGTCAGTCGCGATTACCTACCCTGCGCTGCCGTCCTTCCTGCATGCATCCCCCTTAGCTGCGTGCCACGCGAAAACCAACCCTTTCCGTCCTTTCTCCGCCAAAGAAAAACGAACGAACCTTGCTACACACATATATCACCTTCGCTTTACGCATTTCTTTTACGACCAACATACCTATCGATCCGTCGGTGTAATAATTTACCACGTACACGCTTTTAATCGATATTTATAGCAGCTTCTCAATATTTATAGTCCGAGCGACCTGATATTTCTATAGTCGATGCAAGAGCGTGACATTAAAAAAGAAAAAGAGAAAAGGTATTTCTGAAAGCAACAAAGCGAAAGCTTGTTGCACGGCTCTGCAACTCTGCAACGCTGCACAACCCTGTAATCTCGTAAATGAATTTTTCCTCCAATTTAATCTCTCTCTTACGGTTACACGTTTTTTCTGGAATGAGACAAGTGGAATCAAAGGTGAAACGTAGTATGGTCACTAGAGGAGAGCGCGTGAACTTTTGACCTCGACGCTAGGAGCGCGTGCCAACCCCAATTCGACTAACTTGCTCGAAACATTCCTATTAACCTCTTGCGTATTCCTTAGCGTATGAATCGACGAGTTCTTATCAACCGGAGAAAGTAGACAGATCGTTCTCGATCGTATTATCGACAGTGGTAGGGTCGTAATAACATACACCGATAAAATCACGCTGTACATACGTATATGCATAAATGAATATGCATGCGGCCTATCATCGAATAACATCGACGACTCACTCGAAAGCTTCATCTTTGAAAACGTAATTAACCGCATACGTGCTTAATATCGAAGAAAGCGAGGCTTCGTTACACGTCAATGTATATACCATGTATGTATATACCGAACCATGCCACTTCTCAGTCTCTAGCGGATTTTTCACTTCCAACACAATTCCTCGCCAAGGTCACGGAAAAACTACTACGATCGAATAAAAGATCCAAGGCTGTATTCGTAGATCAGAGGAATTTTCAGTCGCCTCTGGCATTGAAACGCGCAGCCAGGTATTCGTTCGTTGCAGCCTTGTCGTTGCTACAAACCAAATCGTTTGCGTATGTATGAATAGACCGTGACAATTATAACACCTACGTACCGACACCGTCGATTCTCCCGAAAATTTCGGTGAAACCAAGTTTACGGATAGTTAGAAGATTGAAAAGCACGCTAACGATCACGCTGCCAAACTGACGTACTAAATAGTACGAGTTACGAATCGATAACGCATTTCTCCATCGCGTTGTTTACGAGGGAATGTCAAAGAACGGAAATAATTGAGGATCGATCTGGATTCACTTCGAACGTCGAGAAAAGGTGTCGTCGTAATCTAGGGTACTTTAGCCTTAAAACTTTCTTCGTCGTATGTCATTACCTGCAACAACTTGCGATTAACCGAAATAACCGGACGTAATTTTTTATACGAAATGTTGGTCAAACAGCAACTTTGATCGATTTAAAACGAAAGACGTTTCAATATTCGACGAAGAATTCGCTCGAAAAAATGAAGCTCTGCCTAAGGAATAACGAACGAGTGACGCCATATTAAGAAAATTCAAATGTTCACGTTCGATACATTCTTCGATAAATATCGATTCAATATGGCGGATCAATGGCGGCGACAGAGCAGCCCTCGTTTAGATCGAAAAAAAACTTTCCCCTCGACGAATCAATTCGATCGAATAAAACGTGAATGACATCTACTACTAAAAGGTGTCTATATCTAGAGATAAATAGAGCAGAGGACTCCAACTATTTTTGTTTCGATTATTCCGCTTGGCCGCTCTCGCTGCATTCGACCTATCCGTCGTTTTGTTCTCGTTCTACCAGCCTGCCTACCGCGCAAACACAGCCAGCATACGGTTGCGTGCACCAGCCAGACACGACGAGAACGACAAAAACTGCCCGAAAACCTTCTTCTTGCCCTCTATTTCTGGGAACACAGTTCTCGTGTTTACCGTTCGAACGAGAAACAAGGGCAAACGTAAGTACCAGGCTGCGTTATCGCCAATCGAAAGACGCTGTGTAACGTACGCCCTAGATTTCAACATCGAAGAAGACGTTACCCTCGAGTCAAAAATTCCACGCAACGATGTACCGTCTAATCCGCATTGGCGGATGGAAATTTGGCACAGGATCAAAACAGGACTCACCGAAACGATGCTTTTTGGTAACGCGTCCGTTTCGATTCTCGCTCACTTAAATTCTTTCTTCAACAGCTCCACGAAAGTTCGCCTTTAATCTCTTTCGGGCAGGAAAAATCGCACTGCGTGACTCGACCGGATCAACCGTAATATAAATTCGAAAGATGAAACACAAGCAAGTGGGGAGGTAGACGGACGTATGCGGCAAATATTCACGTAGAGACAGAGAGGCGGGAACATAGACACACACCCGACCGCGGTAAGTTTCAGACTGAGGGATGTTCGGCGCGACACTACCGCACCGCCGCGCCGCCCCTCGCCGGATCGGCACTGCTCGGTAGACATCGGACCGTCGGACCACCGAACCACCGAACTAACGAACCGACCAAACTTCCAACTATCCGTCGTCTGCTTACATTGCCAGCTGTTCTTTCGTAAAATCATTAGCTCGATTTCTGCTTTTTAAAGCTTCTCCACACATTTCCCGCACCCGCCTACGCCCCGTATTCTTTACTCGTCGAGCTCGTTATTCCCCTGTCTCGCTCTTTCTTTCTCGTCGCCCCATCTTCTTTTGCCGCTTAAAAATGCCTACATTCGTAACCAAGTTCTCCGTTTAACCAACACTCTAATTTCGATCATCGCCAAATACAAATTACGTATAATCTTTCAGATTGAAAGCAGATAATTAATTTTGCTTCACGTTAGAATAGCACAGCCCTACTGAAACAGCCTGTTCGTGCGTACCATATATGTAGTACGAACATTACGTTCACTTTTTCTTTCTTTCTTTTTTCGCGACAAGCGTCGCGTATTAAACATCGTCCACGTCACCTGACGATAACGATACTGACTGCTCGCTAATTGTAATTGTGCACTTGCTACAATTCTCGCATAATTATGGTAGAGCCGTTTCCGCGTAATCCGCCTGTAAAGTTTTCGTTCGTTCGACACCTGGTAAAGGAGAAACACGCTTACGGATAAAGCGCGCTCTTCCTTATGGCCGAATTTCACTTCTGTAGAATTTTTCTTCTATTTCTCGTACGTAAGTATCACACACACGCGCTTCTTTCCCGATTTGTATCGAGCAATACGACACAACTAGAATCCGAGAGAAAAAGAAAAAAGAAAAAAGAAAAACAGAAAACACTTTAAACGAAACACCGACCAATATCCTTCCTAGTGAGTACGAGTGGACTGGGTCTGCCTGACGTAGATCGAATCATCGATGGAGCGTTTATCGATATCACGAACGTTTCGTATATGGCAAGTAATTAAACCTGCCTTTCGTTTCTTTCTTCTTTTATGTGACTAAAATTTGTTAGAAATAACGCGGCGAAGGAATAGAAAAGAAACTACAAGTAATTAGATGATTGATTGTTCGCAATAGTTGTCGTACATGGTAAACGGTGATCATGCTTGCGGCGGTGCTATCGTCAACGAAGAATGGGGATTAACGGCTGCTCATTGTGTAATGCCGTAAGTAAGAATTAAGATTGAAAATCTAGCCTCGTTTCATTATCGAACGTTTCACGCTAACTTTCAAACTATCGCAGGTTTCTCCATAATCCGGACTATTCGATAAGCGTACGTACCGGATCTAATAGACACGACAGCGGTGGGATTGTTCATAATGTGACGACACTCGTTCCCCATGAAAAATACAGCGAGCTCAATAACGATTACGACATCGCGGTATTCAAGGTGCATCCACCGTTCGTCTTTAACAACGTCACACAACCCGTCAACGTACCGGAATCCGGTGAAAATGTCGACACAAATTGGGGCTTGATCGCTGGCTGGGGTTACTTCATCGTAAGTATTACTTCTCGTAAAGATATCAAAGACTGCGTAACAATTGTGACGGAAAGGTGAAATTTCCAGGACTTCGATCCAATATTATCGGAAGATCTACAATACGTAATCCTGCCAAAAGTGAATCGAGCGACGTGTGCGGAAGATTACGAGGGCAGATACGATCTAACAGAGCATCAAATTTGTTACGGATTTTCACAAGGAGGGAAAGACGCGTGCAAGGTAAAACACAATTTACTCTGCTAATCCGAGTAAATTGCAATTTATCCTTGATTTTATACAGGGTGATTCCGGCGGTCCCTTGGTTAACAATTTCACCGTTATCGGTATAACTTCGTGGGGCGCGGATTGTGGTGAACAAAACTCGCCTGGTGTCTATACCGACGTCATTGCTCTAACAGAATGGATTAAGAATAAAACTATGTCGACCGTCGACTAGGTCGTTTTAACCAAGTTTATTTCGATTGAAGCAAATCTTAGTAAAAAAAACTTACCAAACTACATTATTATATTTCATATTTTCATACCGTGTGATTTTTCTTAGGTGCAATTAGCTCGACAGTTTCTCCGTCTTTGGATACCACAAATCTGGACTTCTTGTAGTTTAAAAGATTCACTTTTCTCTCCGCTACAAACGCATTGTAACCGAGTTTGTAGAACTTTGGTAACCGATCGAAACCACCTCCGTCTGCCAATGAGTCGTTGTATGCCCATTGCTTGTCCATTAGTTTGTGAGCGTGCCTTTTTTTCGACGTTTTCAACTTGGCATCCTCGAGCATGATCGATCTCGCTGGTAGGCTTGCTCTCCCCTCCAACAGCGCCAGAAAATATTGTATCTGAAAAATGTACACTTCACTGTACACCGTCTATATATACTGTACAGCAAATTCTCTACAAGAGTCAGTAAGTTTGGATTCTACAAGTGACAGTATAGATGGTCCTACGCCTAGGTCTGCGTCATTGCTGCGCCCATGTTATTTCGCTCGCAGTCAGTCAAGCGTGTAACGCTACACCAGTCGGTTTCCTTTACGAGATTACACGGCTCGACAAATCATAATAGAAGAAAAATATAATTTCTTTAATTTTACTTTTTTTCATCTGCAATTTTTTTCAACATGTTGCTGAGATTTTTCTCATGAAAATGATATCAAACACGATATAATTTGAACAACATTTACTTATTAACACGTTCACTGTCGCGCCAGATTTACAGGTTGCTATCAGGCGGCCACAAGAAAATACATTTTAAGCATAGGATTATAGTATTATGCTTTATAATTTTTTTTTTTTTCAATTGAAAATAATGTCTAGCTAGCTATGACGTTCAAAATTTTTAGTTGACAACATTTATTTTATTTTAATTATTCTAAACATTTGAGGCACTCCAGTCACTGATGACCACCATGGCCATATCGAGGAAACAATCTAACGTTAATACTTATCGAGTGATTAATTTCATTTCATAATATATCGCTTTAGCGAGCCACCGTTTGGTTGCCAATTGTTTATCACAGAGAGTCGGCCTACCTCCACGTGAAAAAAGAAAAAAAATGTAGGGTCGATTCGACAAGTGTCTGTAAAATGTAGGGTCGATAGCAGCAGAAAAGCTGCTAAACAATTAGAATGAAATGTAACGATAGAAATTATTGCAATAATGCATATCTCGAATTCATATCTTTCTCGATTCTAGAATATAAGAAAATTTGAATAAAATACGCGACGAGAATTGGGGAGAAGCATAAGTTAAACGCGTAAAAATATTCAATAATAAACGAACTAGGGATGAAGCTGTTATTTCAATACGCGATGCACTGACTCTAGTATTTACTAAAATTCAAAAATTCTCGTATAAATTTCGAAAATAGATTATTAATTACGGTAAACTACTGAGACGGTTTAATTTAGGGTGGGCATAGTGCACTCGTTCACAATATACAATAATAAATCAACTAACTACTTAACATGCAATTCGTGCAAATTCGTTGGATGGTAAATTATTAGTAAACAAAATTCAATATCAGAGAAAATATATGAAAAATTTCAAATTAATTCCAACTGCTGGGGGAAAAGTACATATTGATTGTTATGCTGTAACGAAAAAGCAACCTCTCAAAGTCATTTCAATATCCTATTCGACAAGTCTGAAGAACAACGATGACTAAAATTCAAATGTTTATTTCCCTAAACCTTCAAAATAATTTCGAAATATTTTATTCGAAGCGGAGTATTCCAAGTCAGTATCGATAATTGAAGAAATTATTTGATTGTATTTAAAATGACCGAAAGAAGAATATTTTAAGTCTGATATTAAATGTCTAGCAAGTACCAGTAATTGGTAAAATGATTTATATTTGTTTTAAAAGGAAAATTTCTAATAGGTATTAGTTAAAATGAATTGTTATTCAGTCTATTGTATTGAAATTCTAATTGATTCTAATGTATACAAGTGTTACAAGAAGGCTGAGTGTGTACAGGGTGGACATAGGCTAGCTAGTAGCCCCCGACCACTCTATGAACTTTAACGTCTATACTCGAAAGTGTATCGTCAACACTAACACGTTACCCAGATTATCCAAAAATTGAAGAAGTTACTTTTAAAATTGAACATTCTACGGTGTTTCGAGAGATTTGATAATCATAGTCGAACCTTAAACGAACGTTCAAACGAAGAAAATTTTCCAAAAATCATTTCGTACGTTATTAATCGATAAAACAAAAATTCATTGTTGAAAAATAAATATTTCCTGAAAATCTTCATCTTCCATACAAGATTCAAGATTTTCCCTAATTAAGAGTAATTTCAAAAGATTATCTGTATAAGCTATTATTTCAATACGCGATGCACTGACTCTAGTATTTACTAAAATTCAAAAATTCTCGTATAAATTCCGAAAATAGATTATTAATTACGGTAAACTACTGAGACGGTTTAATTAAGGGTGGGCATGGTGCTGCTTTAGTTTGAAATGATTTATAAACACATAATTAACAGAGGAAAAACCGTGAAACGGCAAAACGTCTACATTCTAATTGTTATAACATGTAAACAGAACTTTAAATTTAGTGTAAACAGAAAAAATATATAATACAATTTATTTCACGGTATTGCAACAAATAAACGTTGAATCAATATTTAATTCGTATAAAAACAATTATTTAACGTAATAATTTTACCTTCACTATGGCTATTTTAAATTTACGACCAAGGGTCAACCTGATTTCTAATCCTTACGAACTTTAAATTCAGTCTAAACTGAGAAAATATATAATACAATTTATTTCACGGTATTGCAACAAATAAACGTTGAATCAATATTTAATTCGTATAAAAACAATTATTTAACGTAATAATTTTACCTTCACTATGGCTATTTTTAATCTACGACCACAGGTCAACCTGATTTCTAATCCTTACGAACTTTAAATTCAGTCTAAACTGAGAAAATATATAATACAATTTATTTCATGGTATTGCAACAAACAAACGTTGAATAGATTCTTAATTCGTATAGAAACATTTATTTAAAATAATAATTTCACCTTCACTATGGCTATTTTAAATTTACGACCAAGGGTCAACCTGATTTTTAATCCTCCGAACTTGATTTCACAACGAGAAAGTAATAAGATCGTTGAAACGTACTTATTTGTCAAAGAAACTTGCAAAAATGTATAAATAATAATATGTAATGTTTTAACAAATTTTTGGAAGTATAAATTAATAATAAAATTGTGAAAATTAATAAATTATACGTTATTATAACATTAATAGAATTATGACTAAACCGAAGTTCGAAGTCGAGTATTTAAAGTCTGATATTACGTGCCTAGCGAGTGCCGGTAATTGTTAAAATTTGTTTAATAATTAGTAATAGAAATTCTAATTGATTCTAATGTATACAAGTGTTACAAGAAGGCTGAGTGTGTACAGGGTGGACATAGGCTAGCTAGTAGCCCCCGACCACTCTATTCACATCTCAGAACCTTCAGGTCAAAATACGCCGCGAAGTGTCTATGGCCCAGTATAAAGGGTGAATAAATTCGCGGGACATCAGCGGGTCCTTATATACCTGCGGTACCCTCTCCCCAAAGTCATTAGCAAAATCGTCGGTTAGGTCAGGCGGGAATCGACTATTTTTCGCGGGAAACCGATTACTTTTCGCGGGAAATTTCTGTTCTTCTATTATGATGTTGTAACACGGTATAATTATTAATTTTCACAATTTTATTATTCATTTATTACTTGCAACAATCTATTATAACGCTACATAGAATCATTTATAGGTTTCTATAACTTTCTTCAATGGAAACATAGGTTTTAGCATTCTCGTTACTTACTCGTGGTTAAATTAATTTCGTAGGGATTAAAAATCAGGTTGACCTGTGGTCGTAGATTAAAAATAACCATAGTACAGCTAAATTTATCCTGTTAAATAATTCTTTTTACACGAATCAAAAATGTATTCAACGTTTGTTTGGTATAATATCGTGAAATGAATTATTTGTGCAGTTCTGTGCATTTTCTGTGCAGTTCCACCTAATTTACTTAAATTCACATTGCGAGACAGTATTCTGTAACAAGTAGTAACAAGCAAACGTTGAATAAATTCCTAATTCATATTAAAAAAATTATTTAACACAATAATTTCAGCTTTATTATGATTATTCTTGATAAGTGACCACAGGTCAACTTGATTTTTAATCATTATAATCTTTAAATTCAGTGTGAATAGAGAAAATGTGTAATATAATTCATTTCACGATATTATACCAAACAAACGTTGAATACATTTTTGATTCGTGTAAAAAGAATTATTTAACAGGATAAATTTAGCTGTACTATGGTTAGTTTTAATCTACGACCACAGGTCAACCTGATTTTTAATCCCTACGAAATTAATTTAACCACGAGTAAGTAAGGAGAACGCCAAAACCTATGTTTCCATTGAAGAATATTGTAAAAACATATAAATTGTTATATGCAATGTTATAACAAATTGTCGGAAGTATTAATTTTTAACAAAATTGTGAAAATTGATAAATTATACCGTGTAACGATAACGGAAATCTCCCGCGAAAATCTCCCGCGAAAATTTCCCGCCTGACCTAACCGACGATTTTGCTAATGACTTTGGGGAGAGGGTACCGCAGGTATATAAGGACTCGCCGATGTCCCGCGAACTTATTCACCCTTTATACTGGGCCCTAGACACTTCGCGGCATATTTTCACCTGAAGGTTCTGAGATGTGAATAGAGTGGTCGGGGGCTACTAGCTAGCCTAGGTCCACCCTGTACACACTCAGCCTTCTTGTAACACTTGTATACATTAGAATCAATTAGAATTTCAATACAATAGACTGAATAACAATTCATTTGAACTAATACCTATTAGAAATTTTCCTTTTAAAACAAATATAAATCATTTTACCAATTACTGGTACTTGCTAGACATTTAATATCAGACTTTAAATATTCTCCTTTCGGTTCTTTTAAATACAATCAAATAATTTCTTCAATTATCGATACTGACTTGGAATACTCCGCTTCGAATAAAATATTACGAAATTATTTTGAAGGTTTAGGGAAATAAACATTTGAATTTTAGTCATCCTTGTTCTTCAGACTTGTCGAATAGAATATTGAAGTGACTTTGAGAGGTTGCTTTTTCGTTACAGCATAACAATCAATATGTACTTTTCCCCCAGCAGTTGGAATTAATTTGAAATTTTTCATATATTTTCTCTGATATTGAATTTATTTTATGACTTGCTATTTTGTTTACTAATAATTTACCATCCAAGGAATTTGCATGAATTGCATGTTAAGTAGTTAGTTGATTTATTATTGTATATTGTGAGCTGATTTGGAACGAGTGCACTATGCCCACCCTAAATTAAACCGTCTCAGTAGTTTACCGTAATTAATAATCTATTTTCGGAATTTATACGAGAATTTTTGAATTTTAGTAAATACTAGAGTCAGTGCATCGCGTATTGAAATAATAGCTTCATCCCTAGTGTTGGTGAGATTTTTCTGATGAAAATGATATCAAACACGATATAATTTGAACATTTACTTATTAACACGTTCACTGTCTGGCGTGACATGTTGTTCAAATTATGTCGTGTTTTATGTCATTTTCATCAGAAAAATCTCGTCAATATGTTAAGAAAAATTTCGGGATAAGAAAACGTAAAATTAAAAAAGTTGGTATTTAAATCGCTTGGTTGCCTCGACTCACGTTTCATGCTTATCTTTTATTCGCTGTCCTTGTCTACGTTCGGCAAACTACAAAGGCGGGCGCGAGGCTCGAAAACGTAGTCCCTGACTCTACGAGTGTCAGGTTTAGCTTCCTTGCGGTCTGACACTTGTGGAGAATATACTGTACATAGCTTTGTACCCTTTCGAACGAGTAAATTATGCGAATCATTACTTGTACGTGAAACATAGGAAACGGTATGACAACTGTGGGTACTCCAACGATACACATCGTAGGGTGATCGATGTTAATCAAATGTTTGTACAAAGGTGTTATAAAATTATTGTCCACTCGTATGCCACAATTTTCATCCAAAAACGGAAAGCCGTATCGATATCCGGTGCAAAACATAAATACATCCGCCGTAACAGAACTTTGATCCTTTAAAAACATCTTTTCGCCTTCTACACTGTCCACGCCCATCACCTCTGTTACGTTCGACGGTAACGTGTTGTTAAATCTAAACAAATTAAAAAGATGATTCTGTTCCAACTGGAAGTTAAACTACAATCTTTAGACGTAATTAGAAGTACCTCTCGTTATTGTGACTTAAATATATCCGAGTTGCATGATCAACTAAATCGAATGCAATATCGATTCCGGAAGAACTTGCTCCCAAAATGAACACGCTCTTTCCGGAAAAATCTTCCGGTTTTCTGTAGGAATGACTGTGCATTATAGCGCCCGGAAAAGTCTCGATTCCACGTATTGTGGGTATGTAAGGATCAAAGAAATGCCTAAATAATATATGTATACGTAAAAAAATAAAAATGTAAAATCTTTCGCATTATTAGAATACTTCGTATTGAGAAAAAGCACACCCGTTACAAATCATTACAGCGTTAAAAATAATTTCTTCCTCTTCTTCGGTTTTTACAGATTTCACTCGTACAATCCATCTCTCTTCATCTTTCGAAGAAGCGTCTAATCGAATAGATTGTATCCTTGAACCGAACTACAACATTACACTCGAATCGATATCTCTTTCAGAAACGTTTATCCTACGGCCATGCAAAAACCCTTTTTACCTGAATATATTTAAGCAAATTAAAGTGATCTGTGTAATTCTGTAAATACGTTCGAATTTCCCGATGCGTCACACAACAAGGTTCCTCGGCGATCAATCTCTGGTAGTCCGGGAAATTCATAATTTTCGCCGGTAAATTAGTTCTGCGATGAAAGAAGTACAAGTTCTGATATAATTATTCTAAGAACTTCAAACTATCCGTTTAAATTAGTCGAACGCCATTCCATAAAGCTAACAATTAAA